TTATCCTTGTTTTCCAGTGCTGGAGGGAGGGTAAGAAGAGGAGGAGAGAACACTATTAAATATTTGAGGAATTTAAGAGAAAAGGAAGAGTGGATAGAGGGAATATCGCAAACGTGGGAGGGGAAGAAAATAGCGAAAAACAGCTGTGAGATGATATCAACAATGTTTGTCATGACGCTTTTAAAATATGCGTATGTTGAGCCCCTGTGTATTTACAGCATTAGGTTTATTGGCAGGGGTTAGGATAAAAGCTGAGCTGATGTGGGAGAATATATGGAGAAATGTTTGCACATGTGTGTTTGTGTGTCTTTTTGTCTGTGCATTTGTGATTGCTGTTACAGCAGCCTGCGAGGGCCTTGGTCCAGAAGCAGCGGATCAGCCCCACACACAATGCAAAACACTCTTACCACAACAGCCCAAATATACAGCTGTTACAAAACTTAAATACAGGGATTTCATGGAGAGTGTTACACAAACATGGTTTTCGTTAGAAATCGGGAGCATGACACCATTTGAAACACTCAAAGTTCAAGTTGGACTTTTCCAATAATGAAAACAAACCATAGATCAAAATAAAAAACCTACTGAAATCCTCCTTTAAGTGGTAGCCAACTATCTTAGTTCTCAGCCTACAGTTTTCCCGCAATGCTTCAGTCTCACATCAGCTTCATTTTCAGCTGCCAAAGGAACATTTTTTCATGGAAAAAAGCAGTGATTCACAGGTGTCTGCCACCTGCTGAGCGAACAGGCAGAGGCAGATGAACCCTTTTCTACGACTACTCATTCACTTTGATAAGTCATTTCCCTCCTTTCCCACTGAGACGGCATGGTTACCCTCAGCGCTCTGGGGCCTTCATTTGGTATTCACTCTGAGCTCCAACTGATAAAAACTGCGTTTGCAGTCATTCGACCCAGATCGAATACCAATCGCACCCTTTCCCAATGCACGCAGAAGACAGATGTTTGTGGGTGTAAAGCTATTCTTGTTTTATCCAGTATAAATGGAGCTATCGTGGAGGAACGAGATGCTAAAGCCAGTTGCTTCCCCATGGGAGATGGGACAGATGGCGGGTTGGATTGGAGTGAATACTAATGTTTCTGTGCATCTACTGGATGTATAGTAATGCAGTGTTTTAGACCTACTAAGACTCATTTTATCTGCTGTGGTCAAACTTCACAAAATAATATGAATAACTTTAAAATAAGTAAAATAAAAAAAATAAAAAGTGTTTGGCAATTGTGCATGAAAACTAATTACAAGGTGAACTGATATTAAACCTTGTAGATCTGTGATACTTTTACTTGGAGCTACAAAGCATCAATGATCTACTATCCAGCATGCTTCATAAACTTTGCTTTAAGTTGTCATAAACAACTATAAGCAAACATATTTTGGATCTTGTAAATTCTAGTTTTACAGCATATAAATGTGTTAGTAATGCACGGTAGACTTGGCAGTCATGGAAAGTGTTTCCAATCGCCATTAACATGTCAGGTTAGATTTATAAATTGCATTGCCAACCACTGACAGAGATAAATGTCCAGTTAGACGACTGTGAGTTGAATTTGTGCTTTGTTAATTTGGAAATGATTGATTTTTAATGTTCACAGACTTACACAGCATTAAAAGAGATATATGGCCATGGAATGAGTTATAGGATACTATCCTGGTCAAGGTTAGATTAGTTCCATTTAAACTTTGTTGCAGACTGAATGACATGATATAGAATAAATAGCAAACAAAAAAAACTTGAAATATGTATCAAACAATATCTCACCAAGCTGTCCAAATGTTGCCATTATATCGTATCATACATTATTATTAAAACAATCAAAATCCTTTTGATTTCAGAGACATTGACCTTTCTTTGAACCAACTGAAAACTACTGACCCGTTAACATTTGGCTTTTACTGTTTACTTTAATGATATTCTCAATGAAGTCAAATAAGTTACTTGAAATGAATAAAATCTGCTGAAATATTTCTTTCATCTGAAGACGGTCTAGATTTACAGTGCAGAATATTTGCTTCTTAATACATAATATGGCATTGCCTGCAAATGTCTATTATTCATTAAAAAAATATATTTTCAGGCAATACTTTTAACTTAAAATCAAATATATCTAAATATGGGTAAATAAAATAACAACTACAAAATTGGTGGGGGTTTTTTTGTATTTCACACAGTTGTTTATTGTTAGGCATATTTTATTCCATCGGTTAAATGCAATATTGAACATTAATGTTATGCAATTTGCGTTAGTATTTTAATAACTATATTATCATATTTTAATAACTTTCCCTTGTAAATCTGTGGAGTGTGAAGGACAGAGGTGGATCTGCATGGTCATTTTTGTGTGTTTGCAGTCTGGGTCAGGCTGGGGGTATCAGCTGGAGTCAAACTGTCTGCATAAGTACACAGGGGGATTTCCTTTCCAGCAGCACCACAGTTTTTCACCGCTACGTACTGAACCGAACTTGCTGTTTGAGGTTGTCAATCTGTTGTTTCTCCCTGCCCTCTGCTCCACCCTGGCTTTAAGGAAAATACCTTGCCCTTGAAGTTGGCTCCGAAATCAGAGACAATTGGACAGAGAGGGGGGAAACAGGACAACATTTATTACAGAATTCAGCCGTATCGCTTCACTACAAGGCCCGTTGAGTAAAAGAGGTTACCGAAATGTCACAGCCGCTGGCTGCTGTGTTGGAGACGGCGCTGTAAGCTCTTTGTAGGTGTCGTCACTCCATCTATAAGCAGGCGGTGATTCTTTTCTGCTCTGTTAGGCAAACTGTATCACACTGTTTCCCTCAGCGTGCTCCCACCGGCCACAAGTGAAGCCCCTTATATTTATATAAGTAGCTTCTCATCATGACTCTGGAGGCTGCAGTGAACTATGTCTGTTTACATGTTTAAACATGGGGCATTCATTCTCCTCCCTCTGTTTAGAACTATTTATGTGAAACAAATTGTGCACTTATGTGCTCTGATGTGGCCTAAGTATTTGGAGGAGAGGTTCCAGCACGAAGGCTGCCTCTGTGCTTAGAGGCTGCAGAAGTGATAGTCCGTTCTTCTGGACGTATGTCAGCCACTGCCGCACGTGCAGGTGTTGTTTTAGTTGAATATTCTCATCCTTTTTTTCTGGCTTCATCCCCTCTTTGCACAGCCATCCTATCCCCTTCCTGTCCCACTGACTGCCTCTTTCTCTCTCCCTGCTCGGGTTTGTTTAGATGAAGAGATAGTGGGAAAGTATATTCAGACAACATATGTTCCACTGTCTGAACACGGAGCTCAGTGAGGGACAGAGGGATGGTGGAAGTGAATGGGAGATCAGAGATTGAAGCAAAAAGAGAAAGACAGGAAGAGACTAATTCAAGTCAAACTACAAATTAATAAAAGACGGTTAGGAGTTGGAATGATCTCAGCTTTGACTCAAGAAGATGTTGAATATGGGAGATGATGCGGGAGAACAGAAAGAAAGGGCCAGGACATCTCCCACTTTTATCTCCCCTCTCTTTTGCCACTGTCTCCAGTTTAATCTCTCAAAGATAACTATGGCAGACGGATGGAGAGAATGAGCATGGACAGAATGAAGGTGGGAACACTCCCCCTCTGTATTTCTCTTTCCTCTTACTTTATTATCTTTCTTCCTGTATTTATCAGGCAACAGAAAGCACAGGGTGGCAGACAAGTGAGGAAGCAATGTTGAAAAATAAGTGTTAGCGGGTTAGATAACTCGTGCTGTCACATCATTTTCAGCTCTACAGTAAAACCAGTTTTAAATAAATAAAACCACAAAAATAGAATATTTATATTTTTCCCTGTTTATGGAGCTATAAAGGCAACAAAGACCACAAAAACCGTCGGTGGAAACCAAAGTTTTGTGTCTCAGTTGCTGCATGCTCCTGTGCAGTGTTAAATGCGGGAATGTGCATAACAAAGGTCTGTCATCAAAATAAATTAGAAGCATATAGTTGTCAGAAACTTCTCTAGTTTGCTTTGAATTAGCTGAGTCATCTCCTCAGCAACTTTTGATGGAAAAGGGCAGAACAATGGAGGCCATGGAGGGATGGAAAGGTCTTTAGGGTCTGTGTTTCCAACTGAAATGTTTTCCCCCTCTTACTCGATGCTGGAGTTGACACATTGAGGCTTCCATTGTTTTGTTTTTGTTTCATAATGTACTAAATGTTTGCAGTGGATGCCAGATTTGGACTGCTGGTAGGCCAATTTGAACTCTTTTACTACACAGCCAAACATGTGGAAAATGTGGTTTTGCTTTGTCTTCTTGACTGTTTATGCCTGAAAAGATCTTTTGTAATGTGTGTTTTGATTCCCGAGATCTTCTTTAGACTGTTTTAAAGATTTTGCGCACATACTATTGCAAAATATTCAGTTAATTGCAATTTTTACCTTGAGATACTTTATGAAATTACTAGAGCTCTTAAATTTCAGCAATAAATATTTTTGGGGCTTGTAATTTCTGCACTTGTCCATTACTATCATACAAGCTATACAATGGCAAAGTCTTTTCTTTGAACTCACCATATTTCACAGCCAGTGAAAGTATTTATGATTAAGCAGCTGTATCTGCTGGCCTGCTGTTTCCATCTCTGCTCCTCCATGTGTTGTTTAAGCACATTGAAGCTGATGATTAGCTGTGCTGAAGAATTTCTACGGTTTCTACAAAAAGGTTATTTACAAGATTGGATGAACAAAGTCATATCTAGATTTTATTTTTTGGGGAGTTTTGTAAAGACAAACATCCTGCCTGCATCAATAGCTTCCTGTGCATGACATCTGTGCCACTTATACCCACTTAGGAGACTAAATACACTCATTGACTTACTTTATATACTACGAACAGGAAAATAGTTGTTTGCTAGGGTGTAAAGCAAAACGACAGTGCACAAACTGCATGTCCATTGCTTGACCAAACCAAGCATTTTTTTGTCTGACTCACAGCATAGCTTATCTTTGATATAAATACATTGTTTGGGAAAGCTCACCACAGTCCTCTAAAACACTCCAGGCAATGCAATGGAAAGCTGAATGGCTTAGGGCGGTCCAGTTTTTCTTTCTTCTTTGAGCATATCTTTTTTTAAAGGACTTGTGAATTGTTGTGAATTGCGTATATTACACATGGTAAAGCACTGTTGTACTTTGGATAAAGGCTTTGGGTATTTTGTGAAGGCATATGGAGTTCCTTTAACTTAACAAGGTGAAAGCAGGGGTCGGGTATTTGCCCTTTACACTTTGCACTCAGCTGTCTCCCTCTGACTTTGAAGATGATGGAAACTTTAGGTCACTTACCACTGATGTCTTTTCGAGCTGGCAAATACTTTTTAAAACAGTGAATTGTCCTTTAGTTAGGCGTGAAAGTTTTGAGAATGACAAACTAATGACAACCAGATTTTTTTCTTTCTGTGCTAAAGAGGTCTGATGATAGCACTGTTTATTCTAGACACCTTCTGGGTCAGGATTATGCAGCTTCTAATAGTTTTATAGTTTATAGTCTATAACTGGTCTTGGGGGTTAAGATTTTCATACTTAAATGGGATTTGATAGTGCTTACTGTTGTGTTGTAAATTGTCTGTGAAATATGGCAGAAAGGTGAACGGTCACTCACTTCCACTTTCAGGAGCTCTTCCCTTTTATGTCCAAATGAATCTGACTCATGACTTTTGCTGTGATTCATGTCCTCAGCCCTTTTATCATGCAACATAATCACAGCTCTGTTCATTCACACACACTCACACTCACACATACACCCACACACATATATATAGACACTGTCTATAAACACTGAGAACTTAAACCCTACTTTTTCTTTGAAGGAAATATACAAACACAAAAGCAGCTCACTGTCCTTTGCTTCCCAATAGTTGTCCCCATACTGCCTCAAAATAAATAGTTCCACATTTTTGAGAACACACCCTCTCTCCCCTCCTAAAATGGCTAAAAGAAATTCGACATGCATATGAACAATAAAATTAATCATTTTACAGTACATCGACGGTACATTAACACTCTGCAGAGTTGCTATCGGGGGAATTTAAACAAGCATACATCCCATAACTGTTATGTATTCCCTCTATTCCACATCTTTCTTTGCCTGTGCTCCGACTCCCCTCTGAGGTCCTCTGCATTCACTACTCGTCCACTGGTCTGCCTTCTCCTCACAGCACTGAAGGACTTTTCATTTCCTCTCTGACCTTGATTCTCTCTCTTTGATTCCTCTCGGCTGCTCTCTCTCTCTCTGCACATGTATTCCTCCCTGCTGTGTGCTGCAGAAGAGTTACTCCCATAAATCTTGCCTTCCTCAAGTTGATGTTAACACCTCTTTTTTGCAAGTAAGTATCTCCTGGGAAGGCTACATCAGTGAGCACATTGAGCAGAAGGGGAAATGGCTGATGTGTGTCTCACCGTCGGACAGTTAGGGTCCGGCCTCAGTTTCCTGACCACATGGAAAGACGCTCATCACCCAGCTGCTTCTCCTCTTCGTTGTGCAGATAGACAGAATGGTTGCAAAGAGTTACACGCATTTAAAGACAAGGATACAGTCAATATGTTTTCATATTATTATGACATTATTCACATGGGTGCCCTCCGCTTGTGTTTTGCAGTCGGTGCCGATAAGCAGTGTGAGCTGACCTGCAGACCTGCTGGCTATAGATTCTACGTTCGGCAGGCAGAGCGGGTCAGGGATGGAACGCCATGCTTCAACGTTAGCACAAATGATGTGTGTGTAGAGGGAAGATGTATGGTGAGTGGACTTAAACGTGCAAATGTCAGATATTTTTTTTACTTCTAATCTGACAGATCTCATAGGAAAGAGCCTGACTAATCTAAACCTACCATTCATACTCAGCCAGGCCTCCACTGGGCTTCATCTCTATTTTTTCTTGTATTTTGACTATTTTTGACTACTTTCACCCTCATTTCACCCGTCTTCCTCTGGTAGGAATCTTGCAACCACCAGTAACCAATTTATACGAATAACAGTGAAATAATCACTTGCATTAGATTTGACATGTCTCCACCCCTCCTGCCACATCTCCCTTGTTCCCACAACCCCACTTTTCTCTCATTGTCTGACCCATCACTCACATCCTTTCACCGTCTTCTCCTGCCAGACGGAGGGTTGTGATGGGGTTCTGGGCTCCAATGCTGTGGTTGACAAGTGTGGGGTATGCGGTGGGCAGGACACCTCCTGCCAAAAGGTGACGGGAAGCTTCCAAAATGCCACGGTTCCCTTCGGTTACTACAAGATCCTGGACATCCCACCCGGAGCCACGTTCATCAACATTACGGAGAGACGAGCAAGCCCTAACTACCTGGGTGAGTCGAAACAGACAGGCAAAATCACACACTCACAAATCTACAAAGCACAGTTCAAGATTTCCTGGATAAAAGTAGCTTCAGTTCCACTAAAAGTGAAATATTGGCAAGGGAAGTGCAGATTTGGCCCCGGACCACGTGTCTGCTGGCTTCAACGAAGACTGTGGATTTTGTGGCCTTGCAGACTCCGGCCAGATAAAGCTAGTATTGTTGAAGCCCATAAGGAAGCAGTGAAGTGTGTACAAGTTTGCATGCGTGAGTGTTTGCCTCGCCAGCGTCCTGTTTGTTAACGAAACACCGCTCCAGAGTCTGTGTTTATCTGTCTGGGAGTGTGTTTGAACACATGGGGGGTTTCCTAAGAATTTGCCAGACTAAACAGGGTCTAAATGCAAAAAGAAAATAAGACTGACATCTTTTGACACTTTTGCTCCCACACACTTTTCTCCAGCCATGAGGAGCGGCACAGGGGCGTCTGTGGTGAACGGGCGCTGGGTTGTTGATGCTCCCGGGGAGTATCAGGCAGGGGGGACCACTTTTACCTACACCCGACCCAGAGCGCAGTCAGAAGGGGCGGAAGAGAGAGGGGAGTCCCTGAGGGCACGAGGACCTACCACAACACAGCTGCAGCTATATGTAAGTACTTCAGCACAGGAAGGCTTTCAGTTAAACCCTGTAAGTAAACATAAACCGGAGCATGGTCAAATAAACTTAATGAAGACGGCCTCAACGATTGGTGTCCAAGCAGATTGGGAACATTTTAAATGATCTCCTGTCAACAACAGTGAGAATTTGGAGCATGCTACCATTTTTTCATTCAGAGTCTCAACCTTTGTTTCTCTAGAGAATAGAACTTACTCATGACAGAATTTTAAAAAATCGAACCAGAGTTACAAAAGATCTGAATCTGAGAAGTCGAGTTACTCAGCATAAAGTAGGGAATTATTACAATATTTGTTTAATACTGACCCACAACAAGTTATATCATTTTGAAAACAGTTGCATTCTGTTTTTTTTAAAAATATTTTTATATAAAAAATATATTTCACATTGCACCTGATTTTTATCAAAATAACTATATCTATGCCAGTATACCGACTGAGAGATATAGACATAGTTTGAAAATGATCTAAATCTAAATGTTTTGGCCGTGGGACTACTGATTAAGACTAGAATAACTCTCTTAGATGAGCTGCAGGGTTTTGCAGCATCGCAATTAACCCCTGTGGAGAGACCAGCTTAAAATACAGCCGCTCATCCTGACCTCTGACAAGCCCATTTCTCTGCAAGTTGTTTTATGGCATGTGTTGCCTGTTTTGCTCCGTAGCTCATATTCCACAAGGAGAACCCAGGTATCGACTATGAGTTCTACATCCCTGTGGAGAAGAAGGACGGAGAGATGGAAAGACTTATAGAAAGGGAGAGGGAGACGTCCAGAGAAGCACCCTGGGAGAGACTGAGGGAGCGAGAGCCAGCACGGGCCCCCCTTCGTGGTGCGTCCATTGCATCTTAAATCTTTCGTAACTGCCCTCTCTGTCAGCGGCTGTTTCCAAATGTTGCGTCTGCTTAGCGCAAAGCTAAAACTTACCGTGGCTGAACAGAGCTGTAAATCCAAACCCTCAAGAGCCATTCTTTCCAAATTACATGAGAAAATATCACTGTAAGACAAGGCCGGTGCCTTTTTGTATTAGGATGGGTGTGGCTGTGGGATCAGTGGGAGATTTTTTGTATGAGCATGTTTGCGCGTACTTGCTTGCCCATGACCTAGCTGGGAGACTATCTGTTCGACATGTTTGCTGTCATGAGACCATGACCTCATCATGACATCGTTAGACTTAGATTCACTCCCTTCCTCTCATTTTCAGTCTGCCTATTTCTTCACCCTTTTTATCTCAACTCTCTTTCTCCACCTGGTGTCAATTTCTCTTTTTTTCTTCTTTCCCTCTCCTTTCTAATTTGTCTTAATGTTCATCTATGTTTATCTCCCCTCCCAGGACCCTACACTGTGTCAGTAGAAGAACCTCCTCCTGCTCCTCCTGTTTCAGACCCGTCTTTCTCCTCCTCCTCCTCTTCGTCTGTGTTCTCTCCCCAATCCTCTGATCGGTGGATGCCTCAAAGGACACGCTCACGAGCATCTGCACCAAACAGGAATGCTCGAATCCCCCCTCGTACTGACCTGCCACCCGACACCCAGTTGCCCTTTGTTTGGAGTCGAGGTGGCCTCACAGAGTGTTCTGCCTCTTGTGGCAAAGGTCAGGCTTCTTATTATTCATATATGTCTCTTACTTCATTCATTTCGGCCTGATTATTTTGGATGATGTGGTGTCACCCTCCTCTGGTTAAGGGGTGTAAGTGCAATAATGCTGAAATAGAGTGTGTTTCGTTCTGTTTCTGTGCATCCCCTCTCTCTGTAGGTTCTCAGTATAGAGTCGTTCTATGTATAAACCGCCATACAGGCGAAGAGGTGCCAGGCAATAAGTGTGACTCTGCAGCCAAACCCGTTCCTGAGGAGGAACCTTGTAACACGCACCCCTGCCCAGCATTGTGAGTAAATTCATATTTAACGGTTGTTGTACCTGTAAGTCTTGCTGAGAAAAATCAGTGCCTGAAGGGCTTTTTTTTAAGGGTTTAAACACCAACACAGTGCAGGACATCAAAACCATTTCAGTGTTTTCTGGATCATTTATGACCAATTTGAAGATACAGAAACATCAGATTGGCCCTTTAAACAAAGGCTTTCAGCTTTACCTGCACAAACTAACTTGAACATTTATGGTCGGGCTAGTTTTGTCTTGACGACGAAGCCGTTTCCTTGTCTGTGTGTCAGCTGGGAGGCCAGTGCGTGGTCAGAGTGCAGCGTGTCCTGTGGAGCCGGTGTGCAGCAGAGGCAGCTTCAGTGCAGACAGAGCTTTGGAAACCGCTCCACCATGGTCCTCCCCCAGCGTTGTGCCAGCCTCACCCCACCAGAGTCCACACAGACATGCCAGCTCCGCCTGTGCTCCCACTGGGAGGTCAGCTCGGACTGGAGCACGGTAGGTCAATCATGCTGCTCTGTGAATGGGAGCTGTGTCTGTTCTCGGGTCATGATGGTATAAGGCCAAGTGCATATTTTTCTCGGTCTGTTTGGTGGTTTCTCCAGTAAAGGATTAACTCGATGATACAGTGTAATTTGGCTCATTTTAAATTCTTGTGAAGGTTATAGAAGTGCAACCTCTCAGTCCAATTGTCTTTGCTTCAAGTGGTCATTCTCTGTCTCATGTTTCTTCTTTTCTCTATTTACCAAAGTGCTCAGTGGACTGTGGATTGGGGAGAAGGACACGGAATGTGCGTTGTGTCAGCGATCAGGGCAGCATAGTAAACGACAACGAGTGCAACTCCAGGCTCCGCCCACAGGGAGCTGAGGAGTGTAACATGGGCCCCTGCGTGACCAACTGGTACTTCAGTGACTGGTCCAAGACTGTAAGTAACCTACAGGCACTTAAAAAAAGGAGCAACATGCAATCAGCTGTAATCCCCAACATGATATTCCACTTTGTGTCCTCAGTGTTCTGCACAGTGTGGCCCTGGGGTGCAGAAGAGAGAAGTGGTGTGTCTTACCAGAGGAGGGGTCAGAGAGGGTGGAGGAGGAGGTGACTGCATTGCTGAAAAACCCGCTGAGATGAAGGCCTGTAACGGAGGTCCATGTGTGCCGATATCCATGTGGTACAGCAGCCCCTGGTCACAGGTAGGATGGAGCAGGGAAATATTCTTCTCAAATAATCTACAACCGCACTTTTAGCTGTGAAATGTTTATATATAAAAAATTAGCAGGGACCATCCATCTGTTTGTTAGAGTAAAGTGGGCTGACATCCAGTTGAAGGCTGCAGCCTTATTCTCAAATGTGTGCCAAGGACTTTCAACTTCTGTAGAGTACATGGGATGCCTGCACTGTCAGCTGATTGTCTGAACTGCTAAGTAGCTGAAGTCTTGTATCAACCCGAAAAAACAATATTAGAAACAGTTTAGGACTCTGGAAGAGACTGTCAACTACTCTGGTAAACATGAGCCTGTTAAAACTTTTAAAGGGATGCTGTCATCTAATTTAAATTTTCTCAGAAAAGGAAAAAAGAGAAATCGAAGGTTTGTATGAGTTGAAATTCATCTAATTCTTTTTCTATGTATACCTAATGTCCAACAGGATTGTGGAAATTAGTTTGTCCTTTTTCTTTGTTGCACACGCTGCATTCTTGGCTGCTGTATTTGACCCATTTGATACACTCTCACAGTGCAACGTGCCATGTGGAGATGGAACGCAGCGACGAGACATCATTTGTGTCGAGAAGATGGAGAATGACTTTACCGTGGTGCCAGCCACAAATTGTGCTCATCTGGAGAAGCCTGCCGCTGTCCAGGAATGCGAAATGGGGGAATGTCAGCCACAGTGGTTCACAACAGAGTGGAGCGCGGTGAGAGCCCACAAGACGTGAAAAGTGGAAGAGCCAGAGGATCTTTGCTGTATTGTTTACACTCCATTTGTTCTTGTTTTAGTGTTCCCAGTCCTGTGGGAAGGGCTTGCAGGTCAGGGAGGTGCGGTGCCTAACGCCGGACCGAAGGCACAGTCAAGCGTGTGACGTCAGCGCTAGGCCCGAACAGGAACAGGTCTGCAACGCAGTCCCGTGCGGCCTGCAAATCACAGGTGGGCGTCTGTGAGACGGTGCGGGTGTGTGCGTTGTGGTCATCATCCCTGCTAACCTCTGCTTCCCTCCCTCCGTCGGCAGATAAAAACTGCAGGGACAGACGCGATAACTGCTTGATGGTGGTGCAGGCCAGAATGTGCGTCTACTCCTACTATAAGACTGCCTGCTGCGCCTCCTGTGCACAGAGTACCCAGCGGGCCAAGAGGCACTGAGCAGCCAGCCACGGGCAGCCCTGGACTACAAGCAGGCCAAGAATAGACTTCACTAGCTGATGATGAGTCTGTATTAATGGGCAGCCCAGAAATGACATGCCATTCAAATAAGATATTGCCCCCTGACTCTTCAGGTAAAACACTGTGAAAACTCACAATTCTTTTTTCGTATCAGAAACTGATTTGATCCCGAGCCACAAGTTCCACTGGGCTTTCTTTAGTGTACTGTGCATTTAACAGGTGCACTGTCGATATTTTCCTTTCCACTCTTGGAGACTCGTTTCTGTGGCTGTGAGGTTGGAACAGAAGGTGCTCACTGAGGACACAGCTGTGTTTCAGCAGCAAACTTGGCCCTCCTAATCTACAGGATCTCAAAGCAGATGCATTCAGACGTGCTCACTGCTACTTATGTGTTTATCAAATAATTACCATATGTGCCAGGTGAATTTTGGATATTGTAGTACTGCAGTGTGCCGAAGATCTACTGGAATAGATCTGTGTATAAGCCCCCTCCCCCTTAGCTGCTGTGGCTTCCCTCAGCCAAGCGAGAAGGATTTATTTACAAGTTGTATGTGTCTTACCATTAGCCAAAAAGCATCTCCTCAAGTGACCTTTTATTCAGTATTTGTACAGATGAACCAAAGGGGGTGGGGTTACCACAGTGGTTAGTGACCAAATAAAAAGATACTAAGAGACAGAAAGGAGACTTCCCAAACAAGGAGCGTTCACGTGGATGTTAGACAGCACAGAGTGTGTGGTGTCTTTGGCTCACATATCTTTTTTCCTTTTAATATTCTATTCCTTTTTACTTAGAAGGACAAAAAGCTTTCAATCAATTTGTTTGCTGAAAATGATGCATGTCATATACAAATTCAAAGGGCATTCGCTCAGAAAGGTTGAGAAACTACAGTTTCTCCCCGTCAGCCCTCCTTTACAAAGGCATTTACACAGTGAAAACTGTGAGTATTCCAAACTCTGTAATCACTGACTGTTCAGGGGTTCACAAGAGCATTTTGTCTTATAAAAAAAAAATCCTCACTCATATGCAAGGCTTCATGTGTTTTTTAAAAACATTTTTATAAAGGCATAAATTAAGTGAAGGGTTCTTCTCATAAAGTCAGAAGAGAACATCATCCCGAAATTGATTCTATTTCCATTGTAGAATTATACATTTTAGGTTTCCTACTTTGCAATTTGATAATGTTTTTAATCCAAGATTATTTTTTCAAGCAAGAGTTAAACGGTAGAAAGTTTGAGGCTATGCAGATTTCTTACATTGTCAGATAATTTATTCAGCGTGTTTGGTTTATGAAGGATTTACTGATCAATTATTAGAACAAACTACAGCCCCTGGGTTTTAATGTAAGGAGGTATGTCAGCTTTTTAAATAGATTTCAGATAACACAGGAGCCAGGAGGAATAAGCCAGAGCAAGCTTTTTCTGGGCAGCATTATTTTAGTTGGTTTGGTTTTATCCTTTTTAATGGAATTTGTTGATAATAAAGAACTATTTGAAAGATGTCCTCTTGCTTGAAGGACATCTAACTGTTTTTGCAGCCATCGCAGCTGTGCTGAGGTATTCCAAACATCTGAATGTCATTGTCTTCTTGGGAAAGGTTGTTGGATCTGTCCCATGAGAATAGATGAAGTCAGGATTTAGAGACGTCACTGAGACTGTCAAAGCTGCTCTCTGCCCTGCAGTAGTTTGCAATCTTAGCTGTGATATGTATCAAATGCAGTCATCCTGCTTTGCCATAAAATTTAATACAGACACAACTCCCTTAATGTTGGGAGACTATGTAAGATATAAAGCCCAATACAGCAGTTTGTAATTCTCATAAACCAAAGTAATTATCCCTGTGGAACAGAGAAAATATATCAAAAGTTAAAAGCGAGACCATTCAACTGTCTCGTGGGCATTTACTCGTCTTTAGTTTGATGGCATGTCTCTAAAATGCTGGGAGAGAGCCATGTTTATTTAATTAAATATCTTGGAAAGGAGGTGGCTGGACGGGAAAGTTGTCCCATTCCTATCTGATATAGAATTGTTCCACAGTTGGAAGATGTGTTATCTCTGCCTCCCTGGTGTGCTCTTCTTATACACAGACATGTTACAGACCTGTTGCCTGTCACCCTAATTAGCTGCATCATGTTCCTCCAGATGTTTCTTTTTAGTACCATCCAGATTTCCCCCCCCTCAATCCCAAATGCAAGATAATAAGATGTTTATTGAGATTGTATGATTTTCTCAATGTTAACATTTGACATGCTTTCTTGTTTCATTGGGAGAAAAATATGTATTTTTATGAGATTTGCAAACCGTGTTTTTTCTGACTTTTATACACAGCGGACCATCTTTGTCATTTGGGTATTACTTTGCGTTATGAAGCAGCAGCAATCTCTGTATATTTGTGTGCAAGTACTGTTTGATGCCCTTTCTGTTAACTGTATATCCAACATATTCTAACCCAACATGTACTCACGCCCAGTCAAATGTGAGGAGCTTGTATATTTGTCAGATATGGTTTAACGTGTACTTTTCTTTGAGCATAGTCACACTTATGTTTTGTAACTGAGTAGAGTGATCAGGAGTGTTGTTGTAGGTTGCATTTATTCATATCTAACTGTCATATAACTGCTGAATCAGTGACATTGTTGTGCGCTTGAATTGTGGATGCTTCCATATGCATGCATGCATTTGTGTATGTGTCTTATGTTTTGCAGCTGTGGCTTTTAATGTCGCATTCCTATCTGTAATCCTTTGTAGTATAAATTATATTTTCTATATACATATATATGTATATATTTACATATATATATATACAAACATAAAAGAATAGTAATTTATCTATGATCTGAAAAACATGTAATTTATTTTCTGTTTTGAGAAGGTATAGGACTTTTTGTTACCAGTAGAGTTTATGAAATTGCAGACATTTTTTAAATCATACAAAAACAGAAATGAGTGTGGGAAATTGAATATCTGAAAGCTTCATTATAAATAAATCTTAAATCAAATATAAAACGATGAATGTGTCACATTGATTTTTGAGGAAAAACGATGTTATTATGTTTTACCAAAGGGTGGCGCCATTGAGTCGACGTATTTTAAATTCGCCTCAGGGTAAACACATTTGTTTATTTTAGGATGAGAACGTTATCATTAAGAAATTAATTGAGCAAAGATAGTCTATATTTCAATTAAATAAAGTCTTGAGTTGCTTTTTTTTTAGCTTGATAAAAGATGCCTGACTGAGGAGGACATGAAAATCTGCTCAGTCATTTTCACTGTATTTAAACAGTTCAGTTTACATTTGACCAAAATCACATCAAATAAAGACATTGTTTATGCAATTATACATTTAACAAAAGCTTTTAAATGTGAACTGTAAGCTTGGGAGAAAACAGTGCTATTACATAAAGATATTTATGATCTAAGCCTAATGTCTCCCAAGTTCAACAAAGGGCCTTGTTGCCTGAAGCATTTTAAACACAGCTTTGGTAAACTTTTCTTTCAAGTAACAATTATGACTCCTAAGTTAATTATCATTGCAGAGTGGGTAAAAGCAGCAAGGCTTTTAGACCAGGGTTTTAGGCATACTAGGGAGTAAATTAGTTAAAAGTTTTGTTATCCTTATGCAAACAAACTTTTGGCTGTTTTCAAAAAAGCAAAAACACATCTGAGATCACAGTTCTGTCCTTAGAATATTAATTTGAAGGAAACTCCTCCTCCAGTTTAACACAATGTCTACAATGATGTTTTGCCATTTAGCAGACGCTAATCAAAGTGACTTACAAAGAAAAATACTGTAGAAATAAACTATACTTATCCTTTATGGCACCCTGTTCTTTAAAAATGTGAGGTCAATGTGAAGCTAAATGTAATATCTAAACAAATTGAGTTTTTCAAAAAGCTCCTTTTATGCTAATTCTAAACTGAAATGACTGGATTTCCCCTCCTCCGTCGAAGGGCTTTGTGTCTAATGGGAAGTTTCCTTGTGGACACTAGAGGTAAATGTACCTAAGCGAAGTGAGTTTGTCTTAATTAATTATTTAATCTTGGTTTCCAAAAAGATAAATAAAAAATTCATTTTTTTCTCCCCTCAGCTCCATGTCAGCTTCTTTTTTGATTTACTAGTCTGATTGCGAGTGTTGTGTGCCTGATTTGTAGGAAGGATTGTGTGACGTGATATATAGGCTGCGTGTAAGTGTATTGTAGGGGTGCAGCTATATGGTGGAGGCTGCTATATGGAGAGGGCACCAGGCAAGGCCAGCAGATGGTGACCTTTAGGAATGAATTACCACGAACCCAGTGACTCCTTTCAGGCTCTCCCTACAAGACTCTGGGGGATTTCACGTACCTAAAACACAACATAATTGGACAAACTGTTCAATCATTTTGCTTCATTTCCATCTGTGTCACATCTAACGGTTGTGGTTCAGTGTCAACCGCTTCTCAAAAGTATAGCTCTCAAAGTAGGCCAACTCCATCCCCGAGCTATTCCTCTACCCTCTGTCACACATTTTGCTCTGTGTGGGTGTGAGTGTGATTTCGGGCCCGGGCGTGAACAGCTGTAGTAGTCGTGACCGCGTGCTCGTCGTCGGAGGCGCGCTTCGGCTTCACGTCAAGAAGCATCGTTTCAGCACCAAGGCCAGGGCTCGCGGCGAGAACAATAGGCGGCTCCGCGCACCATGTCGCCTAGGCAACGTCTGACGAGTTCTCGCTCGCGCACCGCCACTCAAACCGGGCCGTTTAAACACACCTCGGACGCACGATAAAAATTACCCGGGTGCTCGTAAGGTTACACGTAAAGGCATACGTTTGTTGAGTAACGCTCTAAATGGGATTGCACCAGTTGTAGCTGTTTTATTTGTTTAAACACGGGGCGCGGGGTTATTGACGGTCCCTTGGTGTTACGTCACAAGCTAGCAACCGCTTTGATAGGAGGGGGAGGGGGCGGCAGAGAGCGGAAAGACACCGGCATCCATAGGACGTTAAAAGCCATACAGCCGCCGAACGGGTAAGACGCTGCCACAAACAGACAACCGCAGGAAAATTGACTCCAAACAGACCACATATCGGTGGGAAGAGAAACGGCAAGGCTGCAAAAAATCTTGTACAAGAAAACAATTAAGTTTAAATAGTCCCGAGTTCATCACAGTTGTACATCAGGTTACCACTTTGTGACTACAAAGAAATTAAAAGTGGGCTCCCGTGAAAGTGATAGCTGACCGGCTCCGTCCACTTCGGTTATTTAAAGCCGAGAAGTTGGTGAATCCTCATTCCGATAGTAACGGCGATAAGCTGTCACCTGCCGGGACTCTTCTTTCTCCAGCCTCCAGACCGGGAGACCTGGAGTTCGGTATTTTTTTTTTTTGTTGCAGAAAAGCAACCGAGCCTGTATTGTGAGTCCACCGAGCAGGAGGCAAAGCAGGGCAGGCACAAAGAGCGGAGAGCATCCAGAGAGGAGAGGCAGGTCCGGGACAGTGAGACAGCTCCGCGAGGACCCGAGCCAGAGCATCCTTCTTTTATTTTATTTTTAATCTGCACGGCCAGCGTTGGCTTTTGGTAACGGTAAGAGACGCAAAGTCTGTTTTCTGAATATTTCCATACCTTGTTTTGTTCTGGCGTCTGTATGTATACGCGTGTATTCGTGTGCGCGTGTGTACGTGCGCGCGCGTATGTGTGTATACATTGAGAGGGGATCGGACAAAGAGCAAGGGAGCCCCATGACATCCGTGTGTGTGCTGTAACCTACAGCTGCCTAAACAAAGAAACTGCTCTAATGCAATGATTTACCCCCAGTCACGGTGTTTCTCCTCTTTTTCATTTTAGGGATCCTGAACACCGCGTATCCGCCAAAAGGTAAGACTTGCTGGCAGATATTTTCTTTTTATATTAATTTAATTGGAGAAAAGGGCCATTATTGTTTTTTGATTGGCTAATTAGCATTTGCATAATTATTTTCTCAGAAGCACTGGAGTCCTTTGTCATGAGACTGGGCAATAAATACTGACATTTTTCATACAAATACATTTATTTTTAAGAATGAGATGAAAATCTTTCACCCCTATGCAAATAGCAGATTTCATTTTGACCAAATTTTTCTTTTCATGTTCATACTATAGTAAATGTGATACATTTATTATCAAAGACATTTTCTGAATATATATTGTAATTACGATCTATAAGCATTTTCATATTACTAAATATCACATGATATTCCAACCATATGGTAATATTCTTTAATGCATATCTCCAACTTTTTTCTTTCTTTCCCTGCCTTTCTGGCTGTGACCCAAAGATTCTTCCAGCCTCAGCTGCTCCTCTCCAGGGATACCTGCTCCTGATCCGTTTGCCCCTCAGCCCCTGCAGTCATCTCCTCCACTTTGTCCCGATGAAGGAGGCCGACGCCATCAAGTTATTTGTAGGGCAGATTCCCCGGAATCTGGAGGAAAAGGATCTCAAACCCATTTTTGAGCAGTTTGGCAAGATCTATGAGCTAACCGTGATTAAGGACAAATATACTGGGATGCACAAAGGTAGGTCTCACCTTCCTTACACAGCTCAAACAGAGGCAGTCAAAATGACAGTGAGCGAGACACGTAGCTAGATACAGTACTGGTTAGATAGATGTGCTACAGTGAGGCAGATAAATGGGTGGATTTTTCTGTGCCGACTGTCACATGTATCCATGGAAACTGTCCCAGCACCACTCGTCTTCATCTCCTGTTAATGCTGCAGCGTGAGATCATGAAGACAGGCGAGCAAACTCAGAGCAGGTGCGCCACATCAAAGTGCTTGCTGTGTAGCAGTATTGATGTAACAAAAAAGTTATTTCATGCTTATTCTAAAATGTGTGGAGATTTTTAAACGGGACTTTTTTGTAAATCACTATATAGTACATTATAAAAGGTTCAAAGACAGCAGTCTGTAATTTATGGTTATGATCATTTCTTATTTGTCTTAATGATCAGGGGAATTTAATTAACTTGAATAATGAAGATAAGACTCACACCCTCACACACACACACACACTGCCAAACACATGGACACACGGTGATCAGGGGCCCTGTGTGTTACATGAACCAGATTACGCTGTATGCTCCAATCAGTGTAATGGGCCTGTAAGCCTGGGTGACACCAGGGAAGGAATCTGTTGTTTTGAGAATCCCCACGGCCTCCGTAAGCCCCTCTTAAAAGCAATGAGATGGACCATAAGATGCCCGTGTGTCTTTGTGTGTGTGTTATGTACTTCGCTGTGTCACAGTTGGAGTCTTATCATTCTAAACTATTTTCTTCTTCTTGTTGAGTCATCATCAGCTCCTTAGACTTACAGTTGGTGTTATTTATTAATTTATTCTGAGTTTGCATTAGTCTGTGTGAGATGTCACAGGGAATGCTAACCTGCTGCTAATCTTGTTGTCTTAGTGCTGGTGACAGGTGTAGTAAACAGCTCTGGCCAGCCAGCTCTACTATCCACCCCTCTCTCACATACTCAAACGCAGGTACAGCACATAGGGAAAAAGAAGGAGTGCATTTGGAGTGATGGTGAGGCATGCATAGTGGTTCGAATTGGACAGGACAAGCCTGTTAGGCATTTTAGCCCCACGCACACGTCTGTGGTGCTGTCATGTGTGCTGACTTGTGCTGTGCCGTTCTGAATTGTGCTGTGCCGTGGAGTGTCCTTCTCCGCTCTAAAGTACATCCTTCCGATGTCAAGCGTAGTCGCTGTAGTGCATGATTATTGGCATTCTTAACTGTTGCACAACTCTCCTGGTGATAATTCAGAGCAGGCAACAAATAGGAAAGAGAAAAAAGAAAACAAGAAATGGTTTTTTAAAATGCGGTGCTTGAAAGTGTGTGTCTGTGTGTTTGTGGGAGGAAAGTGAAGGTAAAAGGCACAGACAATGACAGATTTTGAAGCCATTTACTGACCTTTTTTATCGTCACCCTTCTCGTCTTCTTCTTTCTCTTTGTCCGCCTCTTTCTTTGAAACAGGATGTGCGTTTCTGACGTACTGTGCAAGAGAGTCAGCCCTGAAAGCCCAAAGCGCCCTTCATGAACAGAAAACATTACCAGGGGTAAGTGCGCAAAACAGTCATAAACACAAACATCCTCAGATGGTCTGCACCTCTAACACACCGATACAGGTTGACAAGTCTTGTCTTGAATGTGCATTCAAATCATAGAGCCCACCTCCCCTCCAAAAGACATAGACGCTACCATTTACCTTGTATCCACACACAAGAGGCCCGACATCAGTGTGTGTCTGTGGGACTGGAGGTTCAGCTCCCATTAGTAACATCGTGACATAACTCAGCAGCCGGCAGGCGTCTTGCTGCTAAGGACAAACACTCCCTATCGCTGGAGACACATAGGGTACTCCATGAGCATTAGCATCTCCGTTTCTCTATCTTTCTCTGCCTCTCCATCGCTCTGTCGTTTCCTCCGTTAGCCTCCGGTGATAGCTCCCGTCTAGAGAGTGTGTGTAATTAATGTGACCATTCCCCTTTGTCTCATCCCAGGCTCCCTCAAGTCTCTCTAGTGAGGGATTGTGCGCTATGACTGTGCAGTGATAGGACACTGTTCATTATGGAGGGGGCACTGTGCAAGAGCAGTGTCTGTCTCATAGGCCTTACGTCTCTATCGTTCCCTCTCTTCTTCTCTTTATTCTCCCTGACCTGGTTTCCTCTCCATGAAATCTACTTCATCTGTTTTGGAACATTTTGCAGTTTCATCCTCTTTCTATTTACATCAAAGGTTGTGCGCAAAACCATCAAACCCAAACAGAGTGCCGCGAAAATATAGGCCGCTTATGAGAAATTACATTTTTCCAAGTCTTATCTGAGTTCTGACTTGCAGCAGTTAGAACAGAACAGCTAGTGCGCCGCCGCCATCACCGAATGTTTCTCTATCTCCTTCTCTCTGTGTCGCCTTGCAACTGATCAGAGTTTCAGTTCCTGCACCTTCTCCGCAAGCTGGAGCACTGATAAGATCTCTGAGAGAGAATTGTTGAAGGAGAACCCGAAGAAAGGGCATGGGGGGAAGGGAAATGCTCTGACACGAGCGAGCACGAATACCCTGCATACATACATTTTTTTGCAATTGTACATGCTCTTTCATGTAGCTGGGGAATGCCGCTGCTCAAGCACATACACACTTAGCCATACAAGCACAGCGTGTTCATAATGACATTAATCCAATTAGGGACGGCTAAGAAGTCTGACCTCTGCATTTAAATAATCTTTCCACTGTCTGCTGTGTCTTCCTTTCCGTTCTCATGCTACCATTTATCCTTTGACTTTTGCTCATAACCTTTTCCACTGGGTTTTAGTTCACCTTCTCCCACTGGTGACTTCGGTAACAGCGATACATGTGCCCGCTTTGCAGAGGCACAGCTGCATCACATTTCCTGATAAACGGTGATGAATATTGCGGACAAACAGAGGAAACATTTGCAGGGAGGATACTCATTAGCAGGAGCCAGCATGAAACAATCACAAGCACCCTTCCCCAGAGGAAGACTAGTGCTAAAACAGGGGTGTGGTGATCGCGTGCCTTTTTTTCAGCAAGCGCAGATTTTTAATGAAAAATATGCTCTATATGCCTCTGTTTTTTCTCTGTTTGACTCTTTGAAAAATCCACAGTAACTCATTTACTATTTAGTTTGAGCCTTAGAAAAACCTTCACCGGACTATAAAAAATACTCTAATGAGGAACTTATTTAAATCCATTAGTGATTATCATGCATAGGTAGCACATCATCAATCTTAAATTGGTAAACAGAAAGCACGTAAATGCCTGTTCTTGTTGACCATGTCACACAGTAAGTCATCCAGCACGTCTTAGTCTATACTCATTTCCATGTAGATGCTGTTAATCATTCTGGTATGCTGACTTGTCCTTGGGTTTGACAGAGTTTCACATAATATGTAAAGTATTTATTCTAATATTTTGATGCCTGCTCCACATCACACAGCACCCACCCACATCTACAGGTTTAGTTACGCTGTCACTTTCTGCAACCCTTCTTCATCTTCTTTCTATCCTGTGTTCTCCTTCCTTCCCCCCGCCCATTCTCTTCGGTTTTCTTCTTCAAACGGATTTGTAAATGACTATAGAAAATTTTTTCACTCTCCTTGGACACATCCACCCCCTTTCCTATCCTTTTCTTTACCCATTAAAAGCTTTTCCATTTTCCCTGTATGCTCTCCTTTATTGGTCCCCAACCCTCAATATCTGTTTCCTTGTTCCATTGTATTTCTGTCCCCATTTCAGTTCCTCCTAACACCTTCCAGTTTCCCTGGACCAGAGATGTTACAGACTGTTCTCCTCACTATGCCTAACCATTTCATTTCATGGTATCCATCATCTCTCATCTCATACCCACATTTCCCTTCCTGCTGCCTTTCTTAATTTTTTTCTGTCATCGCACGCTCGCTCAGATTCTCATTTCACAGTCATTTGTGGTAACCCTTCTAAGTCCTCCTCTCGACACAAGTCCCACTCTCTCTGTCCTCTGCTTCCATCCCCCCACTTCCCCTGCCCCTCATTTCATTTCCACTTCTCTGGGTTAGTTGACCCTTTTGACCGTTTCACCTCCCAATCTTCTCCATCTACTCCCACTCCTCTTCCCCCATATCTGTTTGTTAGGGTGTATCCCAAACTCATTATCAGAGTCAGATTGTGGGAAAAGTGCGAAAGGACTGTGTGTGAATGCTTGTACGAGCAGTAGTCTTGGCCGAGTGGGCTTTAATCTTGGGATCACTGTAAATTGCAGGAAGCGGTGGAACGGGAGGCTCCTCATGCAACTTTAATGGAACTGTAGCTTCACACTCATACCGATGTGTTTCTCTCACTTCAACAGCCATGCCATTAAAGGTGTGGTGACAAGCTCATTTATGAGATTACATGCTGATTTAACAGTTCAATCAAGACAGCAGAGCGAAACACTTAGATTTATGTAGAGAAACTGCACCTCAAACGTCCTTGCTAGCTTCAGCAGGGGCGACAGAGTGTCAGATTGGAAAATGAGAAAAAGTACAGCGGGATTGAGAGGGAGACGAACAGATGGCCATATCAGCGTGTCCTACGCCTTGTGTTTAATTTGGACTCAGAGAGAGAGGCAAAGATGGAGTGTGACACGAGCAGAGCAAAAGATGCATGATTTAAATGACGGTAGCTGTGGAAAAAGTTAAATAACCAGCAAGTTGCATTTCAGCCGTCGTATTTTCTGTTGTTTGTGGAGTAGAAATCCCTCCTGGGACACATCCATGTAAAGTAGCACATATTTAGGCGTCACATTCCTGAACTCTTCTGCACCCAAAAATGGTCTTTTCTGTTCACGTGTACATCCAGTCATTTAAAAAGGAAGAATAACAAAAAGTGCGCAGTTGATATCACTTTCAGTATTACTCTGGGAATATTTAATCAAAGGCATGTCTTAGTGAGGAGATGGAAAAGATAACATCTCATTTGCATCTTTCAGCGGGGGTGATGTACAGACTCAGGCTATCATGGTAATGACCACATCTACCACGAGTATAGAATTTAACACTCAAGTATGTGCCATGAAGGGTTAAAACTGGGCTGTTTGAGCTGCGGTTTTATTTGTATGTGTGTGTGTGTCTTTAAGGAGACGGTGACAGTGGGGTGACAGCACACGTGCATGGTCAGAGGTCAGGGCCCAGCCTTTAGTGAATAGTTCCTCGGGAGGGGAGGGGAGCAGAGGCTGCTTTCAGAGCTGTAAAACTTACCTCCAGGAGAACATGACATCCCCCATAAGTGAGAAGGTCATTTCTGCCCACCACAGTCACCCTTTTAACTCTCTGTGCTGGGACATGGGAGTCCTTTTGGATCAAATGCTGGATATACCTGCCCCTTTATTTGCCATTATCCTCTATTTTTACTTCCCTCTTTGGTAAATACTGCACTGCCATGATTTGATTTCCATTTGGGAGCATTAAATTACTATTCAGCTCAAATGTATAATCTTTCAAAATGCACTGATGGAATGGCAGTGTTTACATACTAAATGTTGCCCCGTTGTTTCTTGCAATAAGAAAGTGGAAACATGGCTTTAACTTCATAATCCAGATTAAGTGACAGCTCTTCATCTGTTACAATACTCTCCATAGAGACAATGCAATGAGAGAAAAGCATACAGGTACACATTAATGCTTGTTCAAATGCAGTATAAACTTGTTTTGTTTTTTTAATCCTTATATCCCGTCAGATGGCCTTTCCCTTTTCAATGGCCCACACTTCCCTTCCAACCTGGTTAGATTTTAACCTCACATCTCCCTCTGCTCTCTATCTATCACTCTATCTTTCCCTACCTTACTGCTGCCGTGTTTCCTCCCATATCTCTCCCCTTATCTCTTCTTTTGTTCTATGCTGTTGATATCTCTCTCTCCATTTAATCTGCACCCTCTTCTCTTTGTGTTTATCGCCTGCCTTTATCTTTGTGCTGCTTCAAACACAACTGTTTGTACACGCGCACACAGACATGTAGTGTACACGCTTGTACACATGAGCACTCTCAGAAACACACACATCTGTTTGGTCACGCTGGCATCTCGGAGTAGGTGAAATTAAAGTGTGATAAGCAGCTTACCAGGTGTGTGTTGTCATGCTTCACTGCTCTCCAGGCAGCAGCACTCTGCTCCCTGTTTTTTGATTAGAGCCAAAACGAAGAAGACAAACACACACACACACACACACATTGTACTTCCCATCATACACTGGATGCCTATGAATTATTAAAAAGGCAGAAGAAGCACCACAGGACACGTCGTTAACAATAAGTGATAAAGTAGTGGATCGATACAGTGATTAAAAAAATAATAAAAGTTTGTAGTTGTGATATTGATTGAATGCATATGGTCTGGCAGTGCCTTGGGGCCGATAAATTGAAGTACTTTGCTCCCAGGGTTGCTGTTGCAAACGTGATGGTGGCTGTTACAAATTTAATCGAGGCCGGATCTAAGAAAGGACATGTAAATATATTAAAGTGCCGGAGAAAATAAGTTAACACTTCATATTCATCATTCCACACATGGACTCGGCTCTAAGGTGGATAAACAGCCGCTCAGTGGTGATGCTGTTGCTTCGTCTTACGCCACCGTTACATCACTTTAAGGGCAAACAGATAGTAATGAACGCTGCAAAT